TGGATGAGACGTCGCCGTTCATTCTTACGACAGAGGCCGTTAAGGAGGTTGCTGATATTGAGGCTCTGAGAGACTAGAGAAGGGGACGGGAAGAGAGGGAGGGGGGTTAGGGCGGACGAGTTGTGTGGTGTGGTGTACCAACATTTGTGAAACCCTGTAAACCTCCGTGTATCCATCGCTGTAACAATAAAGTAACGATACCAAAGTGGCACCATAGAATGGCGCCGTTACACAAAGAGAAGCCATTCCGCTTTTGCTAGTTGAGCATCGCCCCATTTCGTCCACCTGAGAAGTCGCAAGAGATGGGCCACACATATTCTGGCTGCATAATCGCTTACTAGGCTGACATCTCGTATCGGCATTCTCTCCACTGGATGGTATCAGAACCCTTGTTTCCCACCGAGGCTTCAAAGGTCGAAGAGAAAAGTTCGTCAAGGCACGTTCCCAGCATAGACCTACCTCGTGGGGCCTGCTCCTTGTCACAGCACTGGCCTTGATTGCGTGAGAACCGACTCACCGAGTCTACATGCAGGATTTGATCAAAGGCCATGTTGGTTGGCTGATTCAGAAGAATATGATATCATTATCATCGCGGTGTAGGTGATCAGTGTGAAACATTTGGAAGGTTGCCGTATATTGCAGTGAAGGTTGAATGTTCTCCATCCGCCTGGAATAACTAGTGTCGCCTGACCACAGTGAGGTTGAGCATTGAGCCATCAATTCTTGGACAAGCCGCTACTGGCGATTCCGTTGCCGGGCGGTAATGTGCAAGAGTGCCTAGCCACAATCAACGATACACAAAGACAGCAAAGATTCAGGAGGTCCCTCGTGGCCATTCAGGGCATCGCAACAACGGTAGCTACGAAGACCATCCCTGGAAACAGCGAAGATCTCTGTGTTTCTCCTTTGATTGGTATACCTTACTTTAAGAGGACCAAGGCCTCCGAGCTGAGTCTCATTCATGCCGAAGTTCAACTGAACTCAAGAAGCATCTGACCCGACACATCACCAAGCACGACACCAGATGAATCACTTAGGTGGTCAATAACTTCTTCTGATTCCACAAAAAGCTCCGTTTGATTCCGAACGCAGTAAAACATTTCATTGCAGGTCTGACATCCTGTGATTATTCTTAACATGCCTACTCATTCCTCGTAGATTGACTACAATCGTATATTTTGGGGGGCAAATCGCAGCCCATGACAAACGTAATATGTACAGTTCGCAATCATCATGCGTCATGTGATGAGAGGGGGAAAGATTCTTTTAACAAAAACCTCTTGGGTCGAACAGCGTCCTGCTGTAGTTCGGCATGGGGAAGGGCTGCCGAGCCTGCGCGCTCAAGAGCTGCTCAAAGGCCTGCAGGCGCCTCGCAAGTTCCTGGTGCTCACGCATAATGGCCTTGTTCCTTCGTTCTAGATAGTGTATATATTCAGTCGCCTTCGTGAGGACGGTGCCCTACAGATGAGTGTAAGTAAATGATCTCGCGCTCGTCGAATAGGAGAAAATACTCCAACTTACCTTGCTGACTTTAGGGCCGCGCTGCGATTGGCTGTCAACCTCAGCATCTTCACCGCCACCTTCCTCAGGTATTGACCTCAGGGACGGCACCGCGTCGCGCAGCTCCGAAATTCTGTCTTTGAGATTGGTACGGTACTTCCTCTCAATGTCGTTATGCGCCGTCCGGTCGCCAGCCTTCACCTTGTCTTTCGACTTTTCAGATACACCAGTGGCATTGGTGGTGCTCCGTGACACTTGCGGCCTTTGTGTCCCGGGCTCCTCCTTAATAGGGGCCTTTTCCTTTTGCTTGCCCTTGTGAGGAGCCGATTGCTCGGGATCGTTGGCCGGATCGTTCATACTGCCTGACGCCATGGTAGCATCGAAGTTCTCCAAGCTCGCAAACTCTGGGCCAAGGTCTGCTCCGACACCAAACCCCATGCCGGACCCCAGACTGGTTGAAGATCGCCCCGTGTTGAGCGCTATTGCTAGTAAGCGTCGCTGTTCCGGGTCAAGCATAGGCGCACCCATGGCACCCATCCCCCCCATTCCAAAAAGGGGGTTCATCCTTAGCCCAGGCGCAGGCTTTTCCCAGCTCAGGGGTGTTGAGTAAAGGCCCTCCCGGGGTGGTACCTCTTGAGGCGGCTGAGAATCAATCTTCCCAAGCTGGTCGCCGAGGTTCATTGATTCCAAAAAGTCCTCATCGTCAGAGAGGGCATTGTCAAGGGCGGCGTCATCCATGAAGTCCTCTGGCTTGAAAACAGGATTGGTGTATAAACCGGCACCTAGGCCAGGTGTTGTCGACATGGGATTCAGGCGGTTTGCAGCGGGCCTAGCAAATGTTAGTACGTTAGCTTTTCTTTAATGCTCAGTAAGAAGTCTTTAGCTCAAGCTATCGCACCTAGGCCGGTAATTCGGAGTAGGGTTGCTACGCCTTGAAAAGTCGATCTCAAAGCTTCCACCCAGCTTTTGTTCCTCATCATCGTCGAATTGGATCCAGTAGTCGACCGACTCCAATGCAGCAGCCTCAGAATCGACTTTGGTCCGTTTCCGTGCATGGCCATCTCTCCGCCGGGGATCTTGGTTCGGCGCAGCGCGGCTCGGTAAGCCTGGATTCCTTTGTTGACCACCGTGATTGAACTGCATTTGAGCTGGCATGGAGCCGAGCCCATAGTTCGTGCTAGCAGGCGATGCCTGAGCAAAGGAAGGCAACGAACCCGAGGGGCCATTGGATGTCGACTCAGAGTTTGCAGGGTCGCCGCCTAAGGACTCCCACAAGGAGTTGTCCGGCGCATTTCTGGCAGCACCTGTGGCGGACGACTCGGCAGTCTGCTCGGCCGAGTTTGTTGTTTGGTTGTTGGGGACAGCAAAGTAGTCGAGGTTTTTGAGAAAGTTGGGGTCCATCACAACGCCAGCATTTCGGCCCCCGAAACGTCGGCGGTCGTCGATCTAGGAATCGATATATGCAATGTAGAGTGGATGTACAGCGGCTCGATCGCTTGCCGAATAATCCTTAAGCACTTGAGGCCCGGACCTCGTATGCTTCTTGGTCGGTGAAAGAGTTTGGCGACTCAAGATGGTCAGTCGTACCACCTCGTGTAGCCAATCAAGGCGATGTAGTCGTCCAATGGCAGTGAAGGCGATGGGGACAAGCAGCGAGCAACAGTCGTCGGGGTCGGCGTTGGCAAGGGAGGCCGGGGCAGGACGCAGTGGATGAGCAGAGACGGTCGTTCGCGTTCGTGTACCGTCAAGAGTGTGTCGCTCGCGCAACAGACAGCAGGCAAGGCGGGGACTTCGCTTAATAAGATCAGCACAGGTTCGAATCGTTAAAAGAATTGTTTGGCCTTTGCAAGTAGGCTTGTGAGGGCGTAGGAGGCAAACGAGAAGCACGGGGACGGACAGTAACAAGATCCATCAAACACGGGGAAGGACGAGAAAAGAGTTGAGGGTTGGGGAGAGGAATATGTGGAGGCAAGGACGAAAATGACTGGTCACACCTTACGTATCCAACAAGGGACCTGTGGGAGGCTGCAGGAGGTTTACGGAGGCGGGAGAGAAAAAGTTGAATGGTTCAGGTGATTTGATAGTGGTGGTGGTGCTGTTGGAAACGGCGGCAGTTCGTAGGAGAGCAGGCCGGAAATCGCGACTCGCAGGAGGCGGCTGAAGCTCTGCGGCGGAAGGACGAAGACAAAAGTCGGCTGATATTCAAAGACAGGAAAAGTGACCCGCGCCGGATTCCGTGAGGGAGGGGGGGATTGACTCGAATTGACTCGGGCCAGGGCGGCCGAGTAGGCAAAAAAAACTACTCCGGCAGAAAAGTGTGCAAAGGTTTGGCAATTGGGCGGGAAAGAATGATGCAGGATCGGGAGGAATGGCCTGACATCGAATTTGCCAGTGGCCGGGGCACACTGGCTGAGCGTATCAAAAATCGACCACTTCATCTTGACAATCGTATGATGAACGAGGCTGCTGGAGGGGAGTCGTGCGATGGGCGCCGAGCTCCAGGACAAGGGTCATTCATTGGACATGCGTCGATCCGGCCCCACCACACCGCGCCCTCGTTGTCAGCCTTGCAAGCTGGCCCGAGCGTCGGCCCCAGAATAGACTTCCCGCTCCGTTAGGGTCCGGCTTCTTCTGGCTTGGTCTCCCCCGTGGCCCCCTAAAAATTCCCCTAGACATCTTTCCCGAATCGGTGTCGGTCCAGTCAAACTGTCCACCACCTTCCGCCCCCCCCCTCCCCTTTTGACGTTTTTGTCCCGTCTCTGACGTGAAGCAGGAGCGTGATTCGCCTTCTCCAAATCCATACTTGTCGTGCTCCTCGGGGCGGGACCGGCGCGGAAGTTCTCAAAAGTCAGGAACACTACGGAGAACTCTCCGCTCCTCCCCTTCGCCGTCGCATCAATCGCCCTGTTCCGCCCCCTGCCAAGATACTTCACCTTGCCTCGAACAGACAGGCGCAACGGTTATGCCGCAACTACAATGAAGACTGGTGGTAGGACCGTTTGTGGCGGCGGCACGCACGTGGAACGGTCGAGACAAGATGCCCCAAATGCCGTTGGCGCCATTGAGTCAACAATGCGCAAAGACATCTAGAACCTCTATGAATATATCTTTTAATTGCTTTTCCTCCCTTGCGTTCCCCATGACCTCTACTTGCGTCCCGTCGTCAGTCGACAAGTTTCCTCTCATATAAGTTTGTTCATTTGATGCTACCCCAATCAAGTTTGCTGCAAGTGCAGAAGCTCTGATGCTCGTATCTGCATTCGATTGTCGGCCAGCGCTGGACAATACGAACTTCGGTCAAAGAGCATCAGGAGCGGCAGAGTCGCTGGTATCACCATAGTGAATGAGAGCACCAGTGCCCGTCCCTCAGACATCAGTCTTTCGGATTGTATAAATACCCTCTTCTCAACTTATCGATAGTTTCCAAGAGAATCGCACAACTCATCCTCTCATTCGCCTAACCTCCCGAGTCATCAACCCGTCCTCGTTTTACGGTCACCATGAAGTTTATCACGAGTATCGCCACATTCAGCCTGGTTTCAACCTCGGTCGTTGCTATCCCAGCCAGTCCCATCGCCACCCCAAACCCTCATCTCGAGCCAATGTGGCCAAAATGCGTCAAATTCTACGAAGCTACAGGTGGTGAGACGTGCGACTCCATCGCCTCCAAAAACAACATCACAAAAGCCGAGGTCATGGGCCTGAACCAGGCCATTGGCGGCCTCCGTGGGTGCTCAATGAATAACATCTTCGAGGGTAACTGGTATTGTGTCAAGCCGGATGGCTGGTAATGATTCCAGAAAAGGGGGAATGTTCAGTCTCGTAGGATGGGCAAAATTCACACGGGCAAAAGATGGAGGATTACCTAGATGGCGGATCAAGCGAGGCTTCGCATAGTGCCAAGCTACTTTGGCATGACGTTGCGAATGTTACCAACAGTTGCTAGTTACGGTCAACAATACCCATGAAATACCAGTATCGGCTACATTTACTCTCCCTATGCAACCGTTCTTCTCCCTAATCAAGCTTGGTTCCAATGGTGACTTGAATCAACAATCGCTCAGAGCTTACTCTTCAGCGCTGTTGAGGATTGGGGTCAGCCGCTCGACTGACGCAGTCACTACAAACGCTGGTCTCATAAAGCGTCTCGTGTTTGGCACTCGGTCCCTTGCAGCCCTTGCCTACGTTCTTGCAATACACGATGTTGTGGAAGCCTTTATGGCCGCAGGTCCACTGCTTGTCATACAGCGTGCACATCTTCCTCGGTCTTGACTCTCGACTCCCCGGTCTGGTACTTGTTTCCTGCTTCTCGTGGGTGATGGTCCTTGCTACTTTTGCCCGTCAGAATGCCTATTCACTTCCATGCCCGTAATTTTGAGCTCAGAGAAATATTCATACATTCATACAAACCAGAAGACGTGTATTTGAGATGACTTGACTCTCTCAGACAGTTGTTGCCTCATACCGTGACTCTGGAGTCGGCTATAAGGATGAATTGCTCTTTTGCCTCTTCGTATATTCTGCTTCGAACTTTGGGATTGCGGGCTGTCTAATAACAGCAGAATGGATTGATCTGTTGCCTTTTCGTATACTCTGCTTCGGACTCTGGGGTCGCGGGCTGTCTAATAACAGCAGGAAGCCGAGACGGAAAAGGCACTTCGAGGAAGAGCTTCAAGGCATCAGATTCGCGGAGGAAGGGCGCAGAGTAGACTCTCTGACTAGGAGACAAAGCTACACAACCAAGGTGTTAAGAGAGAAAGGAGGATTTCAGCAGATTCTACTGAAAATCAGCAGGTCTGATCAAGAGAAGAAAGCGACACAGCAAAAGTGTTCAGAGTAGAAGGAGATGTTCAGTAGGTTTCTCTGAACACCAATAAGGCTGGTTCTCAGGTCTAAGGCAGCAAGGTCAACCTACAAATAGACGAAAAAGATCAAAAGGAGGTCAATATATGCCTCTCCCAGCAGAGGAGAATATTTGGCGTTTTCCGATGTGCAACCAATACCATGTGGTCCAGACCCCGTCGGACGCCTTGCCGCGTTCCGCGGTACTGGAAATGACGAATCGAGATGCAGGCAGCAAGGGAAAAGCAGAAGCTCTTGGGTACATCACATATCAGAACTCTGCAGGGTGACTTGACAGCTTGGACGGGGAGGGGAGGGGGATGGGGGAGGAGACCGGGAGTCGGGACTTGGACCTTCTCGTCAGCTTCTTTGTGGGCATGCCACCGATGTCCGTCGTTCCCAGTGGGCCGCAATCGACGTCACTTCGGCGAAGAACTACGGGATTGGTGGGCTCTTTAATGTGTTACCTATCAAACGGTCGGTTGCTGGGGTCTTTACCCGGCTGAGTGCAGACGAATATTGTCTACGGGTATGGTTTCACGAAAAGGCGGTGGGTAAGGGTACGGGCATCTTTGTCTTCCCTTGGCCGTAAGTACATCGAGCTTTATCTCAGACGCTCTCCTATACTAACCGCGCGCTCTCTATCTCTCTTACCCCCGAAGAGGAGAGCCTTTCTGGAAAGGATCAATGTGCGGACCAAAGCAGTGAGCAGTAAAGATTGTTGTCAAAAGGTGGGGGCGGACTGGGCTCCTGATGATGCTTAAAGACCCTAGATCCCTGTTGACTCCTCCGGGGTACCATAAGCCCCCCCGTTCTGGCCCTATCACGCACTGTCACTCTTTGATATGTGATCTGCTTAGGGTGTTAAACGTCAAAAGTGACCCCGGTGTTCTGTTTTGTTTCTTTCCAGCCGCAAGAAAAGGGGGAAGTATGTATGTCCCTCTGCAAATCTCGCAGGTTTCATGCGAGAAAGCGTCTCGGGATACAACCTTGAACACTTCCCTGAGGAGGTCCATGTTGCCGCGATGTTTGGTACGCTTGTGGCTTGCCGGTCGACGACCCCCCTTCCCCCCTTCAAGTTTTCTCGAAGAACCCCGCTACTGCGACCTGCTGCGCGAATGGGCTGATGTGGATGGCCGTTTGCTTGCACCATTTGTCAGACGCACATTCGTAGACATGCATGGCAGCGCACGACAGGCTTCCTTATGCAACGAATAGTCTCTAGAGTGAGAAAATCCATCCGAGTGGAGGGAGGTCGACGCACTACTTCCTGCAGGTTCGCTAGAGGAAAGCCGGTTATTCATGTAAAGATGCTTCTTTGGACTCGGGTCTTGAACGTAGGCACCCGGACTGGGTCTTTTTCGGTCACAGTTGTTCGGAGCAGTCATCGAGATGTCGGACCTCGTTGTCGGCTGAGGATAAGCCAGCTTCCAGCCTTCGAAGTTTTTGAGCATATGACTTCCAGGGCTACAAGCTGCAATAATTCCTTGTCTCTGTGCCTAGTTTTCCGGGGGATTTGAATACAATGTGTATACGGGTCGTTGCTGACTACCTTAGGCACCAAGTGATAACACCAGGCAATGCGATGTCAATGGGGCGAAAGACTTCAAAGCGTGCCGATGTATGCTTCCGTCAAACACATGAGCTATACTTGTTAGTCTCTAGAGCTATATTCGTCCTTGATACTGTCCCTGATGTATGTCAGGAACGTGGCATCGAAGACCGCGCGCCTCGGACGACGGATGGATGATGATTTATTGTATAGACTCTATCGGTGATGATGTCTGATAGGTGTTTTACTACATGGTACGACTCAGGTTATGATAAGGCTACACTTGAAGAAATGTTCTCAGAAGGCACATTGGCCTGGGCATTTCTCTCGACAGGCCAATTAAGGAGACGACGTTTTACTGCTAGCCATACCTTCCGTTGTATGCCACTCTCTGGTTATCTTGTCTTGAGCAGATGTGACTCAAGATGGAAAAATCTACTCATGGGCTGCGGGTTCGATGTTAGCTCAAAGTCTAACGGCGACTTGAGGTTATGAAATGGTGACTTGACTGCCCAACCTCACAGCTAAATAAGTCGAAGAGAGCTGGAGATTTCAACACTGTTCGTCCACTTCTTCCATATGACGAAGGAACCAAATGATCTTGTTCATAAGCTAGTTTATATTTGCATTGTTTCTCCAGGACATCTGCTCCAAAGTCATTTGATGTCGCCCACTGCGCGATCGTATAATACCATTGAGCCTAGGTGGCAACTCGCTCGTACAGACTCATTCACCTAGTCATCTCGTTTAGATGAGTATTTTTGGTCGTGTCATTAAGAATGCGCATTGTTGTATTCAGACGACATTTAATGCATGAATTCAGGTTCACTCCAAGGTCGCTAATGGATCTAATGTAGCTCAAACTATCCATCCATTGCACGCATGATATCGTCCCTCCCCACACATTCTCACCATGACTGAAATTTGTAAGGCCTTTTTGTGCCGAGAACAATCTTTTAAGAACATCTCTCCTGGAGGAGACTGAAGGAAGCTAGGTAGATAGCTTACTTACTGCAGGAACGGACAGTGGTGAAATGGAAGGAACCATAGTCTTGCCTCTTCATAGGTGACACTGTCAATGGGAAGGCACAAACTGGTGGTTGGCTCTTTCCGCTTTCAAACCAAAAAGCCTCAGGTTGAGGAAGGCACTTTCCTGATGACCAAATCCTAGATCCCACGTACCCATTCCTTCCTCTTTCTACCTTCAATCCCACACCAGGTCCCTTCTCAATTCTGGAGGTTGCCTCGTTTCGTTCCCTTGTCTTTTCCAACAACTTACGGCCGAGACTAACAATCTTCTTCCACACCCACCCCTTCCTCCTCACATATCCTTGCATCTGTCCCGGCGTCACCTCAAAATATCCCACTGGCTGCATCACCACTCTGTCGGTCCCCGTCTCCGAGTCCTTTCCTTTCCTCCACTCACTTCAAGCTGGGACAAACAGCGCCAAGGCGGCGCCGGGGAAAAAATGTGGTGCAGCGTACCGACAATCCTCTTGGGATTGCTGGCGGTTCGGGCATGGATCGACGGTGTCGAAGCTTTCTCTTGGGGAGGTGTCGAGAGAGCAGACGCCCCCAGGTCTGTGGAGGAGTATCGGGTCAACCCATCGGTTGTAATTCACGGTGCATCACGCTTGCCGAATGTCTACGCCGTCGCCATGCAGGAGCTCCAAGAACTCGAATCAGAACCTCTCTGCCATCGAATCGCTGCCCGGCTCCTGGTCAACAATTGCCAGCTACTGGAAGGCAAAGACGACGCCACCGTTCTGACCGACAGCGGCAGACAAGTCCGTGACTTTGTGGACTCCTATGCCGCCAGTCTTGCTATCTGTGATCTGGAGAGGGGCAGTTTTGTCATCCCGTCTGGATGCGCACCGTTCAGGGAACGTTCTCTAGCTGATCTGCCGACCTCGAAAGTTGCTCAGCTTCACGTCACACCTCGGCAGATAGACTCGTGTCTCTCGGGATTAGCCAAGTCCGGCTCTGCGTGGAATACTTGGGTGAGCTACCGTCATAAGGCTCTCAGATTCTGCGAAGCTGCTCGCGCAGATAATGACAAAGGTGACCATCCATCTCACATACATGGAAAACTTTTCTAACCTTGCTGTAGCACAGAGCATTCGTCTCTATCAACGTCTCACTGAAGTCCTCTCCAAACTCTCTGAGGGAGTTGAAAAAGAGCTGGAAGCCCACCTACACGCAATTAACTTGAGAGCAGCCGAGACTACAGAGCAGCTCCGCCAGATGAATCCAGACATCGACCAGTTGCGAAACAGCTTACAAGATCTTGACAGATTTGTTTCTCAAGACGTGATGCAGATGGCACAGGTAGGCTCACCATAGTCATTCCTGAGCACTGTGACTCAACTGACTGGAAAGGCATCAAATTCTGCGATGCGAGGCGGCCTCGAGGATGCCAAGAACCTGCAGCAGCTGTTGACAGTGCTCTTCAAAACGGTCCTTAGCAGCAACGCCGAGGTTGCAGCATCACATGAGATGGCACTGACAGACTTCAAAGAACGAACTGGCGATGAGGTCGCGGTGGTCATGGCTGCGCTCGCAACAGCTGTAGCATCGTCTAAATTCCTTCATGACCAGTTGGTAAGCAAGCCAAGGCCAACCGCATGCTTTCTGGACTGACATCCGATAGGAACTATCCCATATTCGAGCAATTGAGCTAGCTGATCGGCAAGATAATCTTGAGAAGGTTAGTGGAGACAGTCTTCCGAAAGACTCAAACGTGCAGCTGAATATTTCTAGGGACTGGAAAAACTCCTAGACATTACCGACGACATTTCTTCGAAATACGAATCGCACTCTGAGAAGCTTTCACACGTGAACCAGGTTTCAGGAGACCTGCTGGGTACACTTGAAAATATGGCAGCGTCGACATCAGAAGTTCGCGGTTCTTTCCATCGACCAGGTTGGACAAGTTGGGTGCCATATGTGGCGTGCCCAGCCGCGTCTTTGCTCATGGGATCTTACGGTCTTCCACCATCAGCCGTGAGAAACCTCGGGCTAATTGCGCTCGGTATGGATATGACACATTACTTTGCAGGAAAAGGATACTGATTGTTATGTGCTCTATAGGCGAACTTGCTGGCTTCGTCGTGTCTTATGCCAAATATCTCTCGCCGGGTATCCTCGAGGCTGATCGGCATATGTCTCCAATTGTTGGCGCCATGAACAAGACCTTCATTTCCACGGCGACCCCAAATCATACTTCCAGAGATATGCCGCTAGATTTACGCAACATTCGAGGATCGAAGACGACTTGAGAGGCGCGAACTAAGAGCGACATTCGACGTACATCTCCACATCGAAACACTTACAACGTTTATGACATCTGGGCAGGGCGAAATTGATTCTGGCGTTGGTGATTCTATCTTTTACCTTTCTTCTTGCTTTTCGTTGTTGTTTTTCGGGATGGGTTACTGGATTTTGGTCTTTGCAATCGGTGGAAATTGGTACTGGGAAAACGGTTGCCTCTGACATCATTTCTCGCATATGAACTTAGCAAAATCGCCTATTCGGGTACTATGCACTTTTAACCGGAGTTTGTTCATTCTCATCCATTCATCTCCCCTTTTGCTATCTTGTGTGCCTATATCCCAGTGCAAGGCAGACTGACTGCGGGGAAGTGCATGAAGGCGTATTACTGTCTTTCCTCATAGCCTGACCCCGACCGCTAGCCAAAGTTTGCCGTTGTCTCCAAACACCCGACCGTCTTGAAGCTGCGGGATTAACTCAAGACGAGACGAAGACTGCGGCGATGGCGGACAAGGTCAAGATCGCGCTCATTCAAATGCACCCTAAGGTCAGTAAGTCTAGGACTACCCCTCATCAAAAATGCTTAGCCCAGTCTAGCTCCCGCGCTTCCTTCTTCATGCGCCATGGTTCACGAGGTTTCCCTGCGGCTGCGGCGGGGGGAACTTCTGCCTCTTACCCATGGTTAAAAAGACAGAGTTCTGATGAGCATCACAGGTCGTCGCGCCAGAGGAGAACTTCGCCAAGGCAGAGACTTACATCCGCACCGCCGTTTCTAAGGGCTGCTCGCTCGCCGTACTGCCCGAGTACCATCTTACATCATGGGTACCCGACCACCCTCAGTTCGTATCCGCCTGCGCGCAGTCCTGGACGTACCTTGAGCGGTATCAGGCCCTGGCCAAGGAACTAGGCGTGTCTATCGTGCCGGGGACCATTGTGGAGCCGGACGGCGAGGAGGGGGCAGACGACCTGGACCTTTTGAACGTTGCCTATTTCATCGGGCCCGACGGCGCCGTGCTGGGGCGGTACCAGAAGAAGAACCTGTGGCACAACGAGAGGCCGCACCTGACAAAGGGTCCCGAACCGCACGGCGCCTTTGACACGCCGCTGGGGAGGGCGGGCATGCTGGTGTGCTGGGACCTGGCGTTCCCCGAGGCGTTTAGGGAGCTCATCCGCGACGGGGCGAGGATCATTGTCTGTCCCGCCTTTTGGCTCGCCGACGAGTATAAGCGCGACAACGGGGCGGGGAACGGCGCGACCGAGGTGGTGAACCGGGACTCGGAGCGGGTTTTCTTGGAGAACGTCATGGTGACGAGGGCGTTTGAGAACACGGCGGCCGTGGTCCTCGTCAACGCGGGCGGGCCCGCGGGCGGAGGCGGGGTGGAGGTTCGGGAGGAGGGCGGGGCGAGGGTCCGGTATTGCGGCGTCAGTCAGGTTGCGATGCCGCTTGTCGGCGCGCTTGGAAAGCTGGGCGCTGAGGAGGCGATGGAGATTGTCGAGGTCGATTTGGGGCTGTTGGATGTTGCTGAAGGGGCGTATAAGGTGAGGGAGGACATGAGGAAGGAAGGGTGGCATTATGGGTACTCGATTGTGAAGGAATAAGCAACGTTCTCAAGACGACAGTGTACGGTTCACAGGACATTTAATATAGACGGCAGAGATATCTTGACTCAAGGTGTGGTCATGATGAAGGATTTTGATTGCAAAAAGTCTGGTATCGTGACACACTACTCGCTATCAACGTGCCTGACATTTGTAGGCGGGTGAAGAGATATATCCTGGCCGCTCGCTCATTGAGAGCCCTGGCCGGTCTCATCTAAATAAGCAAGAAACTTCCTCCTCTGCTCGATACGGGGCCGCGTGTGCTTCGACTCCAGGTAATCCCAATATTTCCGGATCTTGGGCTCATCCAGGCCACCCTCAGAGCCAGCAGCATCGACGCGCCTCAGCCGTTTGTCATCGTTGATCGTCCATACTCCTTGCCAATTGTTGGGAAGGTCCTTGTGCTCCTTCAGGTACTTCACCAGACTTGTGGCCAGCGGTGTGCAGAGCGAAGTAGCCATCAGCGCCAGGACGATATCTTCGCGCGGGTAGCCAAACGAGACGAACCGGTCCATGAGGTCCTGGAGCTCGACGGTCTTATCTGTCGATTCTTGGGAGTCGGTCATGGTTTGATTTGTGGCATCGTTCGGGGCGTCACCTGCTTCTTCCTTTTCTTCTTCTTCTTCCTCCTCCTCCTCCTCCTCCTCACCTTCTTCTTCCTCCTCCTCCTGTTCTCCTTCTCCTTCTTCGGCGGGCGACTCTTCAACTTGCGCAGGAGTGGGTGACTGGTTCCGATCGACCACCTTTCCTTTATTTCTCCCGAAGGACAAGGGCAAAGGGGTCACAGACTCTTCCTCGCCCAAAAGCTGTTGCGACGGTGAAATATCGAATTCGACACTGTCTTGCGATTTGTCAGGTGCGTTGAATGCATCATCGAAGCCAAAGTCCTGTGTCTCGGGCTCCAAACGACGGGGCTTGCCAGCTAGATCCTGTTCGGGCTCTTCTTCCTCCACGTCCATCTCTGCGGCCTCCTTAATTTGCTCCTCGCTGGCCGTCCACTGTTTGACACTGAGCGAGGGGCTAGGGCCAAGGTTTCCAAAGCTTGCGAGACCTAGCTGGTCGTCGGGGGTCGATGGGATCTCGTCGTCTGGGCCTAGGCGTTGTCGCTTCTTCCTGCTGTTTGGTGTCGACGGAAAGCCAGACGTCTCGACAACGATTGCTTGCCTCTTTCTAGAAGCACCGGGGGTGGCCGCTTGGTGTACCTGTAAAGGTTCCAGCGGCACATCTGGTACGGCGTCTCCATCCTCGGGCTGTAAAACCTCATCGTCCTCGGATTCTACGTCAGGTTCGTCTAACATACCGCTGGCGGCGAAGCCGGCGACGTGGTCTGCAAAGCATTGTTGTATCAACTGAGCGTTTTCAACGTGGAAGCCCAATCTATCTGCGACTGCTGCCCAATCGGTTTCGACCGCACCTTTCTGGTACTGGTCTCCAACAGCTTGCCATAATAGCCACAAGTCGATAGGTTGATCATTGATCTCGGGATTGGTTTGGGTATCGATATGGTGGAAGGCCCGGTAGCCCCACAGTTGGTCGTAGAAATCCTGTCTCGTAACAGCTTGGGACTCTTCGACTCTTGGCTCTCGTGACTGTTCCGCCTCGTCGATTTCATCTCTGGCGGGGCTTGCACCAGATGAGACGGCGTTGGGTTCAGAAGTCTCCATGGGCTGGCTGTTGGGTCCGTTTGGCCTCTTGTCCTGTGGGCGTTCCATCTGCCGACTTGGCTCGCCGCTGGGAGCTGTGTCCGGTCGGGTCTTTATGTTGACTGTAGAGGATTCTTCAGGCAAGAGTCCGCTCTCGTCAAGGCTTTCCTTAGAGCTCTCCCGAAGTCGCGGCTCCAATATCTGTGTCCAGTGCCGTTTCCACGCACCCTCTGAATGACTGGAATGCTACTCAGGTTTAGTCTAGAGCCATTATCACTACGGTGAAAATCAGACGTACCTTTTCTGAGAATTTCTTGAAAAATTTGGTGTCGGGTGTACCGCCAAACCTGCCCGCCTCGCGTATCAACAAGTCGTCCTCTGCCTCTGTGAACTTGGCTCTCTTCACTGGAGTCAACGGCGCTTTGACGGCTGGCTGATGGGTGGCGGAGCTCGGCCTGATCGCTGCCTTCACCTCTGCCTTCGCCGGAGGCAATTGCGAGACTGTTTGGGTAGCCGGGGGAGGTGCCTTCTTTACTGCTGGTCGCGTAGCTTGGGATCGCTTGGAAGGAGTCCCGGCTGTCGGTGGCGGCGGCAATACGATATCCGGAGCATTAGCTGCCATCTTCTCAAGCTCAGCCGGAGGCAATTTAGATAGCTTCTTTACCCATCGATCTCTCCAAGAATGCCAGGTATGACGATTGTTCTACGATCTGTTAGTCGTAGTAAGAAGGGTATACCTCGAAAACCGAACTCACTATTCCCTCGAATGTCTGATAGATCTCATTGCCGCTTTTTTTGTTCGTTGCATGAGAAAGCACCCACCTGGCCAGACTCTCATCGTCGGCCGCGTTGAACGGTGTGCGGGTTCCTTTAATAAGGGCAGAATTGGCTGGTTTGGCTGCAGGACGGGAGCCGCCAGCAGAACGAGAGCCACCGACAGGACGCGAAGCTGTAGGGGTTTGGTGCATCTCGTATTTATCCGTTTCTTGTATCGCGCCGTTGTCGACGGAATCTCTGACAAACTTCCAATCGAGCGACCTAGCTGGTTTAGGCCCGGTATCATAGGTAATGTAGTGATCCGCCTGGGCTTCCAACTTCGCAATTGTGCCGCCGTTTTGCTGCATCAGTCAGCTTCCAGAACGCCTGGCATACTAAAAGTGATTGCCTACCTTGATTAGGTCCAGGATTTTCACCCTGCCAGGCACGCGAAACGAAACAAAGAACTTCAGATCCTTGAAGAGAGTGCCGCGGGCGCCGGGCACTCCATCGTAAGTGATTCCGCCTGCGGACATATCCAACAGAACATGAGAAGTGTAGCTGGGAAAACTCAAAGGTTGACTTTGTGGCACGAGTGAACCACTCAAGCTTGTTCAGCCCTTGGAATAGGTGTTGCTGTCGCTGAGATTGAAACTCGTGACGGACAATTACATGTAGAGAGATAGCCTGCTTTGAAGAAGTTTGGTCAAGTCGAGAATCGCAATTATGCCCCGAGAAGGTACGATGAAGCGGCCAGTCAAAAGTGAGGGATGGCGCACGCGCTTGCTCAAGTCGATATTTTGCCTTGAAAGGCGTGTGTGAAGGGCACACTCAAATGCCCTTCCTTTTTATGAGCGTTAGGAGTAGGCGTCAGGAATAGACCAAGTGCCTTCGTCTATTGCAATGAGCTTGTTGCCTCTAGTTGACACGGACCGCGATGCAGCTTCGTCTTCGTGACCCGCGCAAGTGCACTGCCAACACTGCAGGCATCTAACGTATTAGTAGAAGGCACCCAGGTGCTCAAAGGAGACGCGCTTTCATGGAAGGGATGCCGCGTGTTCACGTGCGAACTGCTTCTATGCGTAAAGATATGCATTTTACGCAGTACATGAGTATATACAGTATAGCAACGGCAAACGTTCTGTTCAAAATTGCGCTATGACCTCCCTTATTCGATACATCGATACTTTTGGTAAGCCTCAGTGTCATGCTCTCACTCTAAACTATCGATTTTCTGCGAACGGTCTCTCGATTTTGCTCATGACTGTGAAAATATCGCCAAGTTCTTGAATTATTAAACAGCTTGTTTGCTGCTGGCTAAGTCAGTCTATTGACGCGGACGGTGTGCCTACTGTTGGCTGACACCTCAAGGCTCAGGTCCTCTCCACTTGCTACCGGCCACGGCGACGTATACCTAGTGGGCTTGTCATCCGTTTGCCTTACCCGCCTCAGCCGGCACATCCAGCCCGAAGTACTGGTAAACTAGGACTAAGTGGAACGTCGCCATCTCTGCCGGAATTCTCAAAGTTCGGTTTTCCTCAAGACCATGTGTTGGAAGAATTCATAACACTTAGTTTTGATATAATGGGCGCCCTCAGGAATGCGGCACTCTTCGTGCTAGCTGTCTCCTTCACCGTCTTCGTCGCCTTTTTTGGCCGACTACCGGCTCTGAGGTTCGTCATTATGTTTGTTCGCTGGCTGGAGAACAGAGGCATCTCACCATCAGGAACATGAACTCATCATCTTTGCAGACACACGCCAATTGCAACGATGCATAGAATAATGTGGATCCATATTCCAAATGGCTTCCTCGCTGTAGACAAACTCATCACGGGAGGGAGGTTTTCGACTTCCATGATACGCTTTGGCAACTTCATGATGCATGACCGACATCCCACTGTCGTCGTAAGTGTTCAAGCTTGCTACAGATTCACGGAATTCTGAACCAGACTGACGCATTCTAGATTTTCTTCCTGCTCATCCTCTCTGTTTCGGAATACCTCTATCTCCCGGGAGCGTGGCCCCAGATTTCACTGATGCACAAGATCATAGGCTGCATCGTAATCTTCTTCCCCTATTGGTTCCTGTATCTGTCCGTCATGGCCGACCCAGGCTACATCACGGCCGAGAATCACGCCTACTACATGTCCCTCTACCCTTACGACTACTCAATCTTCTACCCCGGACAGAAATGCAGCACCTGCAACCTCATCAAGCCTCCCCGCTCCAAGCACTGCAGCATCTGCAAGCGCTGCGTCGCAAAACTCGACCACCACTGCATCTTCATCAACGGCTGCGTCGGCTACAAGAACCAGCACTACTTTGTCCTGCTTCTCCTGTCAACCGCCGTTCTGACCTCGTACGGCGGGCTTCTCGGCTTCTCGCTCCTCTCCAACAAGATCGCTGCAAACTACCCCCAATGGGCGCTGTGGCCGCCAAAGGGCATGGAGATTAAAGAGTACCTCCTCATCTGGAGCTGGGCACTGCAGGACAACGTCGGCATGGGCGCCGTCACCCTCCTTGCGGCCATGACCTCTCCGCTCGTCTGGGGCCTATTGGGCTACACCTTTTGGCTCATCTACTGCGGCACCACGACCAACGAGTCGCTGAAATGGTCCGACTGGAAGGCCGAGATGGACGACGGCTGCGCTTTCAAGCGTGGCATGCCCGCGAACCGCGTCAAGGACAAGCGCTTCGAGCCGGAAAGGATGCGCTGGCCGCTGCAGACGCAGCAGGTCTTGACGAGGACCGAGGACGGGATGCCGCCTCCGGACCACGGGCCTGGCGATGGCGAGTGGGAGCGCGTGTGGAATCTGAAGGATGTCGAAAACCTTTACGATTTGGGGCTGTGGGATAACTTGGCGGATATTTTTGTGTCAAATTACGACTTCAACGTCAAACGAGACCAGCCGTCTGTGGAGGCCCTGGGACGACAGAGGCATTCGCCTAAGGCCTGATGCGTTCGTCCTTCCGTAAGACAAGTTTTGTATACGTAGTGTGTAGTATTAATGTAACATGCAACGACCCAAAAGGAATGATACTGCAAGTTTAGACGTGTGTGATTGAGGTGTCCGGTGTCATATGGAATTCACATCACTCAGGATGAGGCATAGCATTTTAAAATACGTAGCATGTTTAGAGGCTCTTTCAACGTTTGTCTTTGTTTCATTTCAACGTGTCTCATCTAATTCGTACCTGGGGCTGCTGAACCCAAGGGAATTTCAGACGCCCCAGCTACTCTGGGCTTGTAAAGCCAGTCTGAGGATCTAATGATGCATGCCCCAGAACTCTCCGTACCGTTTGTGCATGTCAGCCAGTCGTCTGCAGGAAGTTCTTTCACTTCTCAAGCAGACAATTTGGCTTGACGTTGCCACTGAGTGTCCAAAGTCTCGTCTTCAAACGTGGTCGCGCTTACAGAATGGTGCCGAATCTAGGAAACAACGAACGTTAGAATGTAATCTCCTCAGCAGGATTTATGTGACTTGTGGAGACATACCCAAATGTGCGCTTGATGCTGTTGACGTAGTACTCTTGCCAGTTACGCTTCGTGGCCTCCTCCTCGCCGACAGGGACGCCGTCCCAGTTGACACGCATCAGCGTGACGTGGTCGACGTCGTTCTGGTCAAACTCGATGCTGAGCTTAGAGAAGTGACCCTCGGGCCACTGCTTCAGGCGCCAGCTCTGGACAATCTTCTTGGGGGCGCTGAGCTCGAGGTACTCGCCCGTGACGTTTCCGTCAAACAGCTCAAACTTTGCGCCCTTGATAGCACCCTGGAAAACCTTGGGCGGCGCGCGGGTGAAGGCGGCGATGCGGGCGGGGTCGACAAAGGTCTGGTAGGCCTCCTCGGCCGTGGTGCGGAACTCGGCGGTGTCGGTCAGGGTCATGGTGTTGACGACCTTGCCGGAGCTACCCTTGACGCTGGTCGAGGCGGTGGTGGACTTGGCCGGCGTGTTCTGGGCCTGGTACTTGGGGGTCGAGAAGCCGCTGGACGGGTTGGATCCGGGGGCATGCTGGATGTCCTTGCCGTGCTCGGCGATCAAGGCTCCGGGGAGCTTGAGGAATTCCTTGCGGAGCTCCGGCACGAGCTTGGAGCGAACGAGGTCCTTGACAGGCTGCTTCTCCTTGGAGTCGGAGTAGATGTCGATGTCAAACTATTAGGCAGGCAATGTCTCAGTAAAACGGAGTGGCCTTTTGACGATGCAGAGATTTCACAAGAGAGAGACCAACCACAAACTCATCCTCCTCAGTGTCGTGGGCAACCTCAGGAACGGTGATGGTGCCGGAGACTTCAGCCTCGTCGGCAGTGGTGCCTGCGCTACGTTAGCGAGGCTCCAGAATACACGACTTCACAAAAATGGTACAATGTCAGGCAGAGACAGTCGGTTGAACGACAGTTTTTTACGGGATGTGAAACACATGTGCTTGCATTGATGGACCTACCGGTGTATTCTAGAACGAGCTTAACATCGTAAATGGTGATGACCTTGCCCTTCCTCTGGCTAACGTCGACGTCGCCATCCATGCTCACAACCTTGCTAATCTTTGCCGTGACACCGCTATCGGCAGTCTCGACTTTCGCCAAGCTCTCCTCAAGGTACTGTCTCGCCCAGGCCGAGGCATCCTTGTTGACCCAATGCCAGTTGTTAGGGTTGTGGAGGACCATCTTGTCGGCGGTGACTCGGTTTCTGATTTAGGCTGCGAGGTAGGAAATGGGTGTCTGTGAAAGATTTCCAATGGCAAGGTTAGCAAAGGAACAAGTATATGCGTCGCGAGGTTTCGTAGGTTGAAGAAGTAAACAAATAAATTGTCGGTTTGTCCCGGATCAGTGGTTGGTCAATAGACCGCAGCGTTTTTCATCAATAAGGGAGTACAAATCACTCTATGACTGGTGCCAGCTGGTGTATCATCATATTGGGAGAAGATGGAAAGGAAAAAGGCGCGGGGTAGATAAAGAAGGGGTGGGATTGGGGTCAGTCCTTACCTCAGTGCGGATTGGCGCGTTGGAGTGTCATGTCCAAGAAAGCGTTGCGCATGGAAAGAAAAGGAAGATGGGATTAAATCTGAGCGCGGGACCTCTTTTGAAAGAAAGCTCTAGAATTCTGACGGCCTCTCCGCTGCCAGGTGGGCTGGGCGGTAAATCGTCGGCCGATTGGTTTGCCCGTAGTTGCGGCTGAACCCCACCTTCCATTCCACTTGCTCGTGCCCGACCTGCCTGTTCAAGGTCACCAAATTGGTAGACCGAGAGTGGCCTGTGCTTGTCATGGCATCGTAGCTGCTCTTTCAGCAGTCTTACCAGTCGCACACGTTCATCATTCGTCCAGTTCAATGTTGCGTACCACAAATCCGCAAAAAGACGAGCCCACATGCTCGGTTCGGATTACTCGACTGCTTTTTTGCTTGTCTCAACTGGCTATAGTTTCAGGGCAGAGTGCAAACTGCGTCGCTTCACTGCAGCTTTCTTCTTTCCTCCTCATGTTGTACCAGATCCTTGGATGAACTAGACGAGAAATATCGGAGCCGGTACATGGGACTGCAGACGTCGGCTCATCAGGCAAACCATTTGTCACGAAGTCTTTACATCAATCCGAATGCGACTCATCTACATACATCTTTCATCATCTGGAACCTCGAACGGGAAAAGAAAGCTGTGATTCCATAAGGTCTCGCTTTTGATACCTACAGCTGCAAGCAAGCCCAGCTCACGGCACTGCAAACACCACTTGCTCTCCATTCAAATCAGACCATGGCATATGAAACGGCTGGCTTGCAGGCGGATGCAAGACCTGAGTGCCTTCCAGGCCATTTTCTAGAAGCCGGATGTGGTCGCCCCCGCGCGGCCAATGTCCGCTCATGGCCTACTATTTCCGTGCTACTTGGGGCAGGGTCATCTGCAGTCTGCGATGCCATTGAGTGATTGCGTTCTGACCATTGCATTCACACGATGTCACCGTGAAGAGGCCTAAGGACGGGATCTCAACGGATGATACCTGCTCGACCGTCCGGTTGCTGCAGTGCCGATACTTGCCAAGTTGCCTCGTTACACGGTAATGAGAAACCAAATGATCGATGCACTTTTCAAGATCGTGCAGTCCAAAATATGCTCGACGGCATCGGTAAGTTCGATTCCCAGTTCTCGGGTACTCAGCAAGGCCATATTAGTTCCCAGCAAACGGGCCTTGAGCAATATTTAGAACTTCCATGCCTGTTCTTTGCATCCAACCCCGCAGCTTCACGTATCCACAGGAGGTTCTCTTCATTCACGTGTAAGCTATCTGGTACCTCAACCCTGTTCGATTACAGGACAGGGCCCAGCCACCCGATATAAACTCCAAAGACGGCCAAAATTCCAAACAAGCAATAAGTCGGTGAGGAAGACCCCCGAGGTCTGGCTCCTGACTAGGACTTAAGCTTGCTCAACGCTAATGCCTACTTCCCTTCAAGATTGCCAGCCAACAACCGAATCACTCGTCCAGCTTCGTCGGGCGGGCGGCGGCCGCGGAGAGGAAGTAGGGCCGGGAGAGCAACGGAAGTCTTTCAGACTGTCGAGCAAATCGAAGGGCATTTTAAGCGCCGACAATCACCTCCGCATTCTTTTCACAGCGCCATCAACCAATCACAACCCCAGATGTCTCTTTGACTAGCCAGGATCTAAGTATGCTTCCAAGAATATAATGACCTCCCACCAGAAAACCAACCAATCGATACGGCCGCCTACCAACGTCTCCACGAGTCTCTTCTCTTGGCTCCATCAAAATGACAGGCCATTTTGGACCGGACCCTGGCGCGATGCTCACTCATCGCTTCCTCTTGCTGGGCCGTGGCAGGTCACTACGAGCTTTGCGTATGCTATGTCCCATGCTCGCCTCTTCTCGTTGGTTGTCTCTTGCTCAGGTGTACTGTGATAAGGTCCGCTTGCTATGTCGGGTCGACAATGCTCAATACTGCGACCCTGACTCTGAGCTTCATGCCTCCCTACTTTCTAGTATGCCGTCCCGGCCGACAATGGTCGTAGCAGTACCACGCCATTTTATCATTCTTAAGAGAGAGAGAAGAAAGCCAGAGATGAACTGCAGCGACGGACCTGAGACGAGACAGCAGCAACGCGGATAGTAGCACCTTAGCTTGGTCGGCCTCTGCAGACCTGTCATGCAGTCGCGACAGCCACATGGGATGCTGCTGGTCTTTCCTCACTTTGCTGTCCGGCTCGCTTTCACAACCCCATGCCGCAAGCAAGCAAGTGCTGCCCCTCGTGGATGTACGAACGTACTTCGTACCCATCCATACCTTGACACCCCTTCGAATTAGCTCAATACCCTGTCATGTATCGGTTCCCGCTATGAGGTACATATGTGCTCTCCACTGAAGTCGGGAAACGAGCTAGTCCCTATGTTTGCTGCAAGTTGCAACAACTCAGCGCCGAGCATCAACTGCCTTTAGTCCCGGCCTTGAGATCCACCATTGCGCTTTTGCTCCGGGTCCCGGCTGCTATTCCTGTCGTTTCCTCGTGCTCCCGAGAGCCCGCTGTTTTCCATGCCCCTCCTGCTTCTCACCCCGATGTCTTGAATCTCGGCCACCCAAGAGTAGGGATGCCACAGGGGTGCAGTTCTGTCGGCGGGCGATCAAGCGTGAGCCAAGAGCGAGCCAGCAACCCTGGTACCCTCCTGTACGTGGGGTGGGATGTATGTAGCTCTCATGCAGGAGGTTGACCACATTGCAGCAGACCCGACCTAGACATGACCATCTCTTTTATCTTCTGCGTCCTCCCACCCAAACTTTTGTTCCCTTTTCGCTTCAGCCGCGCCCTCCCCCTTCTAGGTGTGACACGACCTTACTGCCGGCTGCCTGTCCGTCCTCTCGGTTGTGCGGTGTGTTCCTCGACATGAGACTGGCTTTCCATCAGTCAAGCTGAATGGGCTGGTAAAGAGCGGAAGAAGTGCGAAGAGGTCGGCAAATTGCTGGCTGAGGTTTCCTTTATCCCAGTGAGGGTCTAAGTCGTCCTCACCTCCTCGAACCAACTCCGGTGTCATTCCGAGTACCCAACCGTCTCAAGTTTCTGCCGTCGCCGGGAGTTGCTCAGCGCAGCGGGTAGCCATTTGGCTTACAATGAACAATCCTCGCGATCCAACCCGGTTGCGCCAGGGTCTCAATCCGCTATTAACTCAGTCTTTGGGTGCATACCACAACCAGGTCAACACGCCGCTGTCGGCAGTGTCCTCATCGCACTTACACTCAGCTGCTCACACTCCGGCAAGCGCAATACAGCCTTATAACCCCCAAGAATGGATAGCTTCACCTGCTGCCGGGTCCGAAAGGTCCCATCAATCCCATCAGTTCCCTGAGCAAGGTAACTATTGACCAAAACTTGCATTGGCCCTGGCCGGCTTTGCTGACCAGTCTCCATAGGATCACCACTACCTCCGCCTCCGTATAGTCCACCGCGAAGCCAACGACCACAGAGCGGTTTCTTCGAGTCCTCACCAGCGGCGAATACTTCGGCAGCACGGATTCCTCCCACGAATGTTCATAGGCCGTCCCCAGAGCCTTCAACAAACACATCTTTTCCTCCCCCACCGGGAGCCGGAGGTCGGACAAGCTCACGCGAAAGGCGCTTCGGTTTTCATTCCCTGAGACGGAGCAGAGAACCCCAAGAATCAAGTCCTCCGGAGCCGATGCCGCCTATGCCTATGCCATTATCAAGGCCAACCCCTCTTCAGATCCAGATCCCACATCCAATGCCACAACACAATGACCCGAACTCATCACACGGCCCGCCCGGTGCTCGAAGAGCTGCTTCCGCCAGTGCAGTTGAGACACCGACTTCAGCTCGCTCACGTTCGGCGTCTCAGTCAAGATGGGAACCAGGAATGCCCCTCCCGCCGCCACCTCCAGTCCCACCTCCAGCGTCTTCTCGGTCACAGAGCGTGCAGAGCGGGCCTAGAACGACTACACCCGTTGCTTCACCGCCCACAAGGCGTCCTCCGCCAACCGGCGTCGCAGCCCTTGGACCAGTACCTCCAACACCTGCGGACTGGGTTGATCAGCCCGAGGAACCTGGGAGCTCATCGCAACGGAGACACTCTCCAAAGTTGACCATCGATACTGCTAGTGCTGCGAGCTCTACACAGACCGGAGAATCGAGCAATTCCGGCGCATTGAGCTCTGGTGGCAGTCTTAGTCGGGCGAGAGCAGTCCGCCACGACAAGACCATCGTTCAACGCCGGGCTGAGAGCCGGACCAGACCGCATAACTCGATAGATGGAACTATCAACCCAGTCCAGCTCAACGACATTGTTGTTCCGAATGAGAACACACTTTCTCGCAGGTTGACGATCAACAGATCAGGACCAAGAAGCGGGGGACGGACATCGAACGACACACCTCGGACTGATGAACAATCGACTACACCGCGGGCACCTGGATCGTCATCGTCACGCAGTCGAATTGAGGCGGCAACACCGCCGTTTTCACCTCATCCGTCAAAGGGCACACCCATGATGGATGGATCGCCAAGTGTCTTACCCAAGGCGCTGCCAACACCGCCGCCGCAGACTCGATCGGCATCGAGCTCTCAAACAAGATTCAGCTCAATGACACCCGCCGACGGCCCTCCATCAGCATCCATCTCATCCACAAAGCATACTGTCATCACGCAAACTGCAGATCAGTTTTGCTGCGAAACAATTGAGCGGTTCCAGGCATTCGCTACCCAAGAATCCACTGCGGCCACCGATGCCGAGCGGGTTCGCATGTTTGCCGACTTCATCGTCAACGAGTCCAGGATCAGGCGAGAGAGGTATTCCTCTGCCATCGGTGCCATGGGCTCGGAGATTTTTGATCTGACGAGGGATCTCTTCCGCCCCATGATCACACGGCGGGAGTCGGCAACTTCACAGGCTGAGTGGACGCCCCAGTCATCCGAACCTACGCGATCCCATCGCGGATCGATGAACTCGGTCTATCGCGAGACGCCCGGGGAGTCCAGCTCCGCTCCTACGTCAGCCAACGTTCCGGGCTCGCCCATTGTGCCGTCGGCAAACAACCCAAATTACTCTTCCAACTACATGCCGTCGCTCTCTCCGATATTGAGTCTTAGTGTGAGTGACAATCACGACGACGGGGACTCCCGGGGTCGGCCTGCCAGTAGATGGTGGGAGGCAGACTCTTCTGGCGCAGGCGGGAAATTTGTCGAGAGGTCCAAGAGAGAGTCAAAGTACATGGGCGTGCCAAAGGAAGCCCACGAAGCCTTGCAATGGGAGGACAGCCCGCAAGCGGGCCCCAGTAACCCGAGATCTTCGGGTGAGTACCCGCCCGAAAAGACGGGCTGGCATGAGATGGAGCCCGTGGTCACACCGCAGCCGCTCCGGTACTCGTCAGAATCCCTTGGGTCCTCAGCTTCGCCCACGACGCCAAACCCAGCCCACCTGGACGTCTCTCGACTGGTGACCCTTCCGCCGCCGTATCCTCGTCATCATCCAGCTGTCAACAATAACCACCCAGAATTGACCGAGACTAGAGTAGCCGTTCGCCAGATTAGCGACCTCTCCCAGATTGAAACTACAAAAGAAAGATTCCAAGTCACCAGCACGAAGAAGCGCGAGGAAGCCGCAAAGGCATCCATTGAGAGGCGAAATGCTTTACGCTCCAATTTACAGCAGGAAATCAACGCCGGAAACATTTCATTCGCCGATGCGTCGACCATCGAAGATGACTCGGTGGCAGCCGAAAAGGAGAAGCAGAAGGAGCTGGGCAAGACAGAGTTTGAGCAGTTCCAAAGCCAGGTCGTCATGCCCCTAAACGACCTCATCACCGGCCGCATCGCCCAGGCCACAACCCTCTTTGACAAGCTGGCGGGGGGCCTCTTTGACGATGTCGCCAGCGCCGCAGACATGCCCCAGGAAGAAGGTGACGACAAGCCCGAGCTCCTGGAGAAGCTGACGCTCCTCAAATGGATCTTTGAGGCGCGAGAGATGCTGCACCGCGCCATCTTTGACGTCCTCACGGATCGCAACAACCGTTACCGGGACGTCGTCCTCACGCCCTACCGCCTGGCCGGAAACGAGGAGAAGCTCCAAAACGCCGTCGCCTTCTTTGCCGAGGACGCCGCGAAGCGGCAGCTGGCTTTCGCGCACGAGGTCTTTGCGCGCACGCAGGAGTTCCAGGCCGTCATGGAGCGCAACGTCATGCGCGGCGTCGAGGTGCAGCTCTCGGCATTCTGGGACATTGCGCCGCCGCTGTGTAGGCTGCTCGACAAGATCACCCCCGCCGACCCGGAGGCCCTTCACATCCAGATCCCGTCGGCCGAGTACGACGAGAACCCGTCGTACCGCCGGCATCCGCTGCAGTACCTTTTCAGTCTGCTCTTGCACACGGAGAAGAGTACGTACCAGTTCATCGAGTCACAGACGAACCTCTTGTGCCTGCTGCACGAGGTCAAGGAGGCCGTCACGCACGCAAAAGCCAAGGTCGTGCAGAACGAGATGGATGATGGGCGGGGCAGGGAGTTTACCGCCGAGGAGCGCGATGCGCGCGCGCAGCGTCTTCGCGACGGGGAGGGACGCATGCTGACGGACGATTTGAAGGAAAAGGTCCGCGTCGTGCAGGAACAGTGGACGAGTGCGCTGGGCGAGAATATCAAGAATGTGAAGCAGATGTTGGGGGAGTATCTGCTCGAGACGGGTGGGTGGGACGAGACCTTGGAGGAGGGCGGTGTCGGCAGCGTCTAAATGAGCTTTTGCAACAGACGAGGGAGAAGGACATCAGAGATTTGGGTATGATTTTTTCTTTCTTTCTTACATATCTTCACGGCGACGAAGACGTTGATACCCCTTTGCGTATGACGACTCTTGTTCACACTTCTTGTATATATTTTCCAAGAAAACTCTAGGTATGGAGTTTTTTGTGAACCACGAATTAGCTAGACATGGCACGAAGATATGATATCGAACGGCATAGGATTTTCAAAAGTATTTCCAAAGTGAATCGTAGTGTTTTTTTTTTTTTTTTTTATATATCTTGTTCCCTCTCCATCTTTATGAGAGATGTTCTTTGCGCCCCTTTTATACAGTAATGTCTTTCGTACAACAACAACAACAACAACAACAACAACTTTCCCACCCCAACGCCTGTTAATGACATTTACAAACACGGCGCCTCCCACCCTTGGAATAGTGGCCATGGGCCGCGTATTTGATTTTTGATCCTGCCTTCGCTGATTGCCGGAAACCAATCCGCCCAAGCAATCAACGAAGGCAGAATTACTAAAACAAATACAGGGAACATGGGCATTCATTCTTTCAAGGGTAGGAGGCGTGGTGTGCCGTCCCGCGATCTTGTGCTTTTGTATCCCCCATCAAGGGTTTCCCTGATTCGATCGCATCTCCCTCATTTCCAGTCGACAACCGTTTCAATATCTTTTCGTAGAGCCGAGCTTCGTAATCGGCCCGTTGGCCCGTTCACCGCGGTCATCTCTTCAAACCATCCATCTCGATCCTGAAGACCTCTCCCTTCTCTATCAGAAAAGGCTCTCTGACAAGATCCCACACCCCATCGCCGATAGTAGGAACAAGCGCTTCATTTGTTCTCCAGTCGGTCTCTGAACTCCTTGGGCAGGTCCATGCCGACCCTCCGCGCCGTCAAGCGCACGCGCTCCTCCTCGTCCATGTTCATGCCCGGGTTGTAGCGCTCGAGGAGCGTGACGTAGGTGCGCTGGGCGCGGAGGTAGGCGGCGAACTGCTCGGCCTCTGCGGCGTCGGCGGCGGCGCGGGACGAGTCTTCCTTTGCAGCGACGGGAGCAGCGGCGAAGCTGGTGCGTAGGCGGTTGTGGATTGCCGAGCGCTCGCGGGCGAGGACGGGTCGGGGCGGGAGCTCGCGCAGGAGGGAGCGGTAGAGGGAGCGGAGGTGGGGGACTGTGGTCATTTTGGCTGTTTTGATCGTTGTTCGTTGATTTGAGGCGCCGATCGAAGAATAAGAGAGCAATGACGCAGGAGGATGTGGTGGTGGTGGTAGTTGAGGTGTCGGCAGTGGTGACGATGCGACGGGAAGTTTTTGGATTGAAGCTTTACAATGTGAGCGTCGAAATCCGAGGCCGGGGTCCTCCTTTCTTTGGAGCTCTCCCGATGCGCTCAGCGGGTACTAATGTGGGTCACCATCCCTGGCGGACCCTGCTGTACCTTAGACTTTCGGGCAGGTTCTTGCCTTGGAACCTCAATTCAGCCACTTTTAGAAGAAATTTGAATACAGCCCGCTCCAGGTACCCTAGAAACTAGAGAGGCCCGAAATGCTGCAGCTTGGATTACATAATGCAAGGAAAACAACCTGAACTTCAATGTTGCGGCTATCGGTCGCATCCATGGACCGGCGCCGGCACCGGCAGCAGGCACGGATGGAGGGGTCCTGACTCTTGATTCTCGACCCCTCCTTGACAGAGCACTTGCAGCTCCCTACCTTGGTCCAAAGCAAATGCTTACCACACTTGAGCATCTTTTCATCAAGTCTGATTTTTCACTAGCAGTTGGAGATACCGACCCTATCCACAGAAAGAATAAGTGGAGGGTGTTAAAAGGACGACACTGCAGCTCTACGGATACCTACTAAGGCACATTTAGTCCTCCAAGTTGGTCTTCCGGCGAATTGACTCGTTTGTGCGTCCACAATGGCCCATCGCATGACGCAACAGCCGCCATCTTAAACACATGCTGGAGCCATAGAGTGAGCCAGGAACTCAGGAGCTTTGCCTCTTAGACACAACTTTTCCCCCTCCTCCACTGTCCACAATCCACATTGCGCATCCACACAAACCGCCTTTGACCTCCCATCTTACGTCCAGAGTTCCATGCCCTCCAAGGTCCGACCATCAAGCGGAAACATCAAAACAAGACAGGAGCCCACCTCCCGTCTTTCTTTCGTGCCATTCCTCCTCATCTCCTCCGTTCTCGTCGTGACCCTGGCTATTCTATCTCTACGAGCTCTTCCCCGGCTCTCCCTCCTCTCGAACCACTTCTTCCCTCTCACCACGACCACGACCCTCTTCTCCTCCTCTTCGTCTTCCTCAACAAAGAAAAACTCGCCGCCCGCCATGTCATCCTACGCAAAGGAGCTCGAGGTGGCCCAGCTGGCCGTCCAGCGCGCCTCCATTCTCACCAAGCGCGTCTTCCACGAAAAGGCAAAGGGCACCGTCGACAAGAACGACAAGTCCCCCGTCACCATTGGCGACTTTGGCGCCCAGGCCCTCATCATCGCCGCCCTCCGCCACCACTTCCCCGACGATGAGATCGTCGCCGAGGAGGAGGCCGCCCAGCTGCGCTCCGAATCCCAGCTCCGCGATCAGATCTGGGACCTCGTAAAGACCACCCAGCTCGACGACGCCGCCGCCGAAGCCTCCCTCGGCGGCGGCATCGCCTCCGCAGAGAGCATGATGGACATCATCGACCAAGGGAACAGCAAGGGCGGCGCCGCCGGCCGCATCTGGGCCATTGACCCCATTGACGGCACAAAGGGCTTCCTCCGCGGCGGCCAGTACGCCGTCTGCCTGGCCCTCATGGTCGACGGCGACGTGAAAGTCGGCGTCCTCGGCTGCCCCAACCTCCCCGTCGACGACAAGGCGCCCCTCGCCGCCGACATCGGCTCCAACGCAAACGACGACACGGGCTACGGCGTCATCTTCTCCGCCGTCCTCGGCCAGGGCGCCACCTCGCGGCCCCTCCGCACCGGCGCCATCG